CACCACCCCCCCGCGGGAGATCCAGACGGCCGTGCGGCTCCTGCTGCCCGGCGAGCTGGCCAAGCACGCCGTCTCCGAGGGCACCAAGGCCGTCACCAAGTACACCAGCTCCAAGTAGAGCGTCTCGGCGCCTCGCCAAGTTTTAACCCAAAGGCTCTTTTAAGAGCCACCCACCTTTTCAGTAAAAGAGTTGTTCACACTGGTTCGGTTTGGTGAGTGGTACTTGTGTTTAGCACTGTCTTAGTTCCCAGGCTAGGACAGCATTTAATGTTGGGTAAAACGTTTTTCATGTTAAAGATACCAGGAATGGTTTGGGTGGTCTCGTATGTGCCCTACTGTTAAATCGGGCAGGTCTATAAAGACAATGTTAGACACCTAATGAAGTTTTAAAGTTATTAAAGCTTTCCTTCCTCGTTTTAGAGTAATTAGCTCTAGTTTTTCAGTAAGTGCCGAGATTATGGGTGGTAGGATTTAGGGTATTTCGTTTGTTTTTTGTTTCCCCCCTCCCATTCTGATATAAAATAAAGCATTTATTGTTTTACAATACCAGCCTTACTCCCACGCAGATTACCCCTTTTCTACCAAAATGTCCTTCCAGAAGGGCTTGGCCGCAAGCCAGAGCAGCTTGTTTACCGGGAGAGCTCCGTAGGGATCAGTCTGTCTACGCCTGATATTTGGAAGACAACATTGAGTGAAATTTATGGCACTGTGCACAGTGGAAGTGAAACGGCGCAGAGAAAAATCATGCGATTAATCTCCGAGGCTTCCTATGGAAGTGGCGTCATTTTTACTGTCGCCTGTTTAATGCAGAAGAAGCGCGCCCAGAATAAGGAGGTTCCCCCAAAGTCTTTAAGTGACAACGCAATATGAGAATACAAGTAAAGAATAAGGGGCACTTAAAAAACAAAAGTGAACGAGAGCGCTTTGTGGAACTTGAGGTGGCGCAGGAGGTGCGGGAAGGTGGTTGTTTTTCGCAAAAGCCGTTCGCAGGGGGGCTGTAATCCCGGCCGCCCGGGGCAGCGGCGGCGATGCAAGCGCCTGCTGCGGGGCCGGAGGCCAAGCTCCGTGTCC